GGATCTTGTTTTCTGGGAGTGGACCACGGGTTTAAACTGTAGGAGATTGTAGATGTAGGAAGGGTGTCGGGTGTTGATCGTTTGGAATAGGAAAGATCCAAGGAAATATTGTCTGCGGAAAGAAGGGAAGAGCCACTTTAACTCCTCGTAAAGGTGAGACACATGAGACCGCCTCGATGTACCTAAAACAAATCTTAAGCAGGTATTCATGAGACGCTTCAATCTATCCTCGGGATGCCTCCGTACACCACACAGCCGTAGTCAAAGTGGGGGGAAATAAGAAAGGATATAAGGAGCTTGCGGATGGATTGTGGGAGCAGGTGGCGTGAGCGATGAAATAGCTTAAGGGTACCTATTGACTTACGGGAGATGAGGGCGATATGGGGTTTCCAGAAGAAGTTTTCGTCTATAATGATTCCTAAGTTTTTAACAGAGGAGCTGACAGGATGGTCGAACTAAAGGAGGAAGGAAGGAGATGGATTTAAGAATAGGACTGGAACCAATAATAATGGTCTGAGTTTTCATCGCGTTTAGCTTTAAATTATTCAGACTTGCCCAGGCACTGATCCTATCTAGGTCTGCCTGAATATTGGTGAACGCGACTAGTAGCTCAGAAGGATGAAGGGAAAAATATATTTAGGTGTCATCAGCGTATAAATGATGTGAACAGTGGTAAATGGATTTGGAAAGATCATTTATGTAGGAATTAAAAAGGAGAGGGGAAATGCTCGAACCCTGGGCCACTCCAGAGGACAGTGTAAGGAAGGAAGATAGGGGTTGGTTGCGAATGCTGACTGTTTGAGTTCTGTCGGATAGGAAAGACTGCAACCAGACGATAGAGCTGTTGGAGAAGGATAGAGATTTTAATTTAGTGTAGAGTATAGGTCTAAGGAGGCAAAAGCTTTGGAAAAGTCGAGAAGTATTAACATAGTTAACATTTAACACACATATATTTATTGTACATATGTGAATGTGATCTCTAAACACGGTTATAAATGTCCTTTGAGACAGATTGTAATATTTTTCAATAAACAAGATAAAAAAAAAATGATATTACTGTTTTCTGACTTTTGTCTACGCCACAACTTTTTTTTCGCTTCGATTCGCTGTTTAGAAGTCATAGGTGAAAAAATAAAAAGTAATCGAAAAAACTTTTTTTTTGGCTGTGAAAAGTTTTTTCTTTGCATATGGACCGTGTTAGCAATTTTGTTTTTTACATGACTAAACCAATATATACAAGTTAAAAAATAAAAACTTTTCTAAAATTTTTCGCAATGAACTTCCCATTTCTGTTACCGGCCGAATATTTTTTTAAATCAGCAGCCATTATTACAGATAGCAAGATCCGACTGACAGACTGTCTAACCTGTTCAGCCTATATAACCTCTTTATTTTCAAATGTTGAGGGTAAAGGTCATAGCAAATGGCCATATATTTTTGTAGGCCATCTTTATTCTCGATTTCGTTATCACCTTACGATTTTATTGAAATGCAAATAGATATTCATGAGTTTTTTATTACCGCCTCAAATATACAAAGTTTTCAATCTTCAGATTGAAAACGCCCATTTTCGAAAATTTTCGTATATAAAAATTTTCTCGGATACCAATGAAAAATTTTGCACCGCGGACTTATAGTCAATTAACATAAGCATATAAAAAATACTAAATTGACACTAATGGCCTGAGCCAGAAATTATTTTATTTCAAGACTAAATCCATCATATCTATTCCATCGGTCCTGGAATAAACTGATTAGGTGGAATATAACACTGAACAAATACCAGCATAGTTATACTTTTGTGTAGGTTGAGACGAATTAAATCCAAAGCTATATCAACTATTGACTTAAAACCATGTAAGTGGTTTTTACAAAAACATCTAACTACCATAGGAATCACAATTAATTTTTTTATTATCATAAAAAACATTTTTTATGACATGTTATGACAAAGGAATAAAAATTAAAATACACCAAAGGAAACGTTAGAGAGTTGGCAATGCATAAGTTGTTTTAAATAATTATTGGTACCAAATGAATGGTTACATAATGACAAATCATAGACGTTGTTTACAATTTCCAGTTGTTTGGTTTTGTATTTTTAAAGTTCAAATCTTAATTTTTACAAATTGATATTAGTAAATTCGGAAACGAATTTCGATTAAATTTTAAACTTGATAAAGAAAAATACAATTCACTATAAATACAATACGTAGATTTCTTTGTTTGGTTCAGACCAAGTAAGTAAGCCATACAAAATGCTGACCAAAACCAAATCCACGAGGCCTTCTGGTTCTGTTCCATTCAGGTACAGGAGACCCTCTTCAAAGGATTGTAAGGATGTATAATCTGATTACAACAACAAGAGAACCCAGAAGATCACCGCTCCCGCAGGTGAAGTTAGATCTTTTGAAGGGACACACGCCATCCTCCTCGAGCGTGGACTGCAGGGATAAGGTCGCGTGGCTTAGTGATTAGGTTCTAGCCGCGCCCGTCAATGGCTCAATTGATTCAACTAATATCTTGCTTCAGCGTAGGCACTGAAGGGTGTTCCTGCACAATAGGCGACGAATATCAGAGAATTAGCGACGATTAAAGGATTGTTAGGGTCTAGTGTTAGTCACTTGGGGTGATGTAATACAACAGTCAAAGGCTTCATTCATCTGGAATTACTGATCATTGATAAAACTTGTAAAATTTGTAAAAAAAAATTAAATTTGTTGTAAATTTACATCAACATAGTTTTTATTTCACAATATAAGAGTCTCGTAATTAATGAGGTGACAGAAGACTTCAAGTGCTACGATAACGTACATGTAAACGATATGAATTTCTGCATAAAATCAAGATATTAAAAGTTTTTGTTATTTAAAGTAAGTCGTTTTTTTCTTGAATAGGAAGCAATTATAAAAATAAATATTTAATTTAATTAAGTTATTAACAATTTCTTCATAGTAAACTAGATAGAATTTCCTCCAATGCAAGGAGGATAAAATCTTGGAAAACAAACTACGATAAAAACTCTCTGTACATCTATAATCACTTTGTTACTATTACTTTATAGTATTATATATCTTTATAGTATAGCACATGCCAAAAAAAAAATTGTTTTTATTTTGTACTTTTCCTGTTTGCACACAACTCCAATCAACTTTGACCACTACTTCTATCGGTGCGGAGAGACTTTTTCTAATTCGAGAATTAACCCTCGCCCTCTCCCCTGGTCTGGGAAAAAAACCTTATAGCTCAAGAGGCAAAGAAGGAGAGCAAAAGAAAAATCAAGCATAATAAACCAAATTGTGTAATATTTACACAGTAATATTATTATCTTTCCTTTGACTACTTTATATCTACAAGAAATCCTTACAATCCAAAATCCTTCGTAATATCCTCAATGCTCCTTACTTTGTCACTAATAAAATAATCCATAAAGACCTCAATGTTCCATATGTTTCCGATTTGGCAAAATCCAGATACCTATCCTTCCATAATAAACTTCATAACCATCCGAATCCTCTTGTTTCTAACCTTGCTTCCTCTTCGATTCCTGATAACCCTCCGAGGCGTCTGAAAAGAAGATGGCCTCGGGATCTTCTCATGTAGACAAATTATTAGAGTGCTACCAATGGATAGTTTCTCAACAAGCGTGTTTCATGTGATAATATTCCTCTATACACATTTACTTGATGTATTCATACTAATACTGTTGTAAATATCATAATAAAAGTTTTAAAAAAAATTTCTACAAGAATGTATTTCTTTTTTCATTTATTCATTCTAAATAATATTATAGGATCGACCATTGAAACTTTTAAAATATCTCTTGAGGTATGACCCAATTTTTACTTATTTGGATAAGCTGGTAGTAAATACAAATATGAACGTGATGGAGCTTTTAGTTGTGTGTATGATTGAGAAAGAAATCATATAATATAAACTTATTTTAATGTGTTCCGACGTTTCATTCTGAGATGTAGGCCTTCATCACGGCTATGCAAGATCCAACTATAAAATAAAAGCATCGAAGAATAAATAGGTATAGATATAGCAGACTACTGTGTTTTAAAAATCCTACATTTATAATAATTCGTCGCATTTTAGTCGTTCACAATTTTCATGAAATAAACATATGATTACCATGTGATAAACTATACACAAATTAAAATGATGGTTTGCAATTTCTCGTCAACACATTCAATGAAGCTATACATTTTAATATATAGATATTAAAATGTATAATTTTAATACAATAATAATAGTCCGTGGTACAGATATCTTTTTATCAAATTATTAACATCCGCCTGAAACTTCGTAAATAGCTTCATTTTAACGTAACCTAAAAATATTTTATTTACGAAATGTTTCAGACGGATGTTAAGAATGTGATAAAAAGGGGTCTGTACCACGGGCTATAATGATATACTATTGTTAAATTTTCGTTTTACTCTAAAATTATATCAATATAAAGTTCATTTTGATATTCATCTTAAGTTTTTTATGAAAATATCTTGATATGATTTATTAAACCTAAAATTTATTTCGATAAGGCCAGAATACACACTTAATTGCTTGGCAACAACAAAAATGATAATATTTTATTTATGGGTAACTATATTAGAGATAAATGAGCGAGGATAGTCAATTACCAAATGATCCAGACTTGAAATTTTATTAATTAATGTTTCGATGCATACATTTCAAAATATATAAGAAATATAACCTGTAGCAAGAAATACGATAATCATTACAGAAAACAACATATATTAACACGTAAACATATAATAAGATAATGACTATCAAAGAATAAAACATATATCGCATTATTCTTTGAATAACGTAATAACATAATTTTGCAAATAAAGAAAGTAACATAAATTAATTTCAGTAGTAAACAAAGTTTCATTATGAAACTTAAAATAAATTTTAAGGATTAATTGACTAGAGTAATGACAAGAAGAAAATTGTTTTTTTAAGCTCAAAATAAACTAACAAGGAACAGCAAATTAACAATTATAAACATTAATAAAAAAAATTGAATTGAACATCAGTAATCACGTGTGAGAAGACTGTTCAACACCGATTCGTCCCTCCTCAGAAGGCTTTGAGTTATCTCCAGCGGAATGCTCATAAACGGGTACAGGAACTTTTATAAATTCGGGTACTTTCACTTCATATGGCACTCTCTTTTCCACGATGTACGGTACTTTCTTCTCGACTGTACAGGGTACGGCTTGGTAACTTCCACTGGATAAGGCTTCTCAACAGGTACTTCGACTTTCACTGGTACTTTCTTTTCGACCACATAGGGAATCTTCTTTTCAACGACATAGGGTACGTTGTATGGCCTAGGGATTTCAACCACTTGTTTTACCGGGTACGGCACTTCCTTCTCAACTGGATAAGGTACCTTCTTCTCGACGTACACTGGAACCGGTTTGGTTACGTGATATGGCACCGGCTTCTCAACTTTCACCTCGAATGGTACATTGACTTCCTTATAGACTGGGTACGGATGCGGTACTTCGATTTTTATCGGAACAGGTACTTTAGTTTCGATGTGGACTGCATAAGGCTTTGGTACGTGAAAAGGAACCGGTCTTTCGACTGGTACTTCCACTGGTACTGGAATGTGCTTCTCGACTTTAAAGGGGATAGGTACCTCTTCTTCCTTGGTTATGATTTCGGTTCTTAACGGATGTTTTTCATTTTGTTCCAAACCTAAACTTCCTGTCACGATGAATATAGATACAATAATATGCCCCTGTTTGATCATCTTCTTGCTGATGTCGGGTAACCACTGGTAACTATGATCAATGCATTGCCTTATATAGTTAGATATAAGGTTGTTATGCAAAAGTATTACGTCAACTACGATCCAGCAATCCAAGTAATGTTAATTAGAAAGTAAAAACAATGCAGGTATTCTTTCTTACTCTTTATTTTTATATCTGAATACTTTCGTTAATTAGGTTTATTAACAGATTATACATTTTTTTTACATGTATATAACACCACATTTTGATGTTTGATATTTAAACCACATTGAAAGTGAGAGGTGATAAGATAATGAAAGTAATAAGAAAGAAACAAGTGATTTTTTTCTCTCACACCATATATTGCTACAAGCTTTTCTGTCTGCCTTATTTATTTTTTATCTATTAATTAAAAACTATTCTGATTGTGACTATTGGCCATCCTGTATATTAATATGATATTCCCTTAAAGGGTGAGCTAATATTTAAATTTTATCTGAACACTATGGCAGACGAAGAAGCTGCAACAAGTAATTGATTTAAAATAATTAATCTTAAAATAAAAAAAATCTTGTTCTTAAAATTGTACACAAATATGAATCACTTAAAATTAATTCTTTACGAATTATATCCTTTAACAAACAACTATTAATTATAAAACTTCAATGACTTTAATATTTAATGATTGTAAATTTGACAAAAGATCGGCCCATAATCCTTCAATTGTTGATCAATTTGATTTGAGCTGTGATTTATTTTAATTTTAAGTTCAGAATAAACAAACACACACACACAGATATATATATATATATATAAAGTGGTTACCCTTAATTAAATAATTAGTTAAGGGGGAAAACCTGGCGGTTGAGCGTGATCTCGGTCAAATCACCTCCTTGCACAACCGTTGACCTAGAAACAGTGCTTTCCCTAAATAGTAGTGAACCCCAGACCCTTTATGGGTTGTAGTGGTACAGGTTTATATATATATATATATATATATATAACAAGCGCTTTACTTGAAGTGGAATGATGACTGAATGTGTCTTGTTAAAAAGAATTTGTCTTTTTTTTCTACCTCCACTTGTACGGTCTGCAATTTATAATGGCGAGCTCTACAGAAATATTGTGAAAGTCAACTTCCTTCTCTCCAGCAAATCATATGATTCATAAACGATATGCCGCTGCTCTAGGCATTTCTTAGAAGGTTTGTCGTCGCCTTCATATTAAGTTCGTTTCCGCTTATTAATAAAGGCACAGTAAAATTTTATTATGGCATGGTTTCAATTTATTATTTATACATATAAACTTTTTGATTGTATTTTTTGATTTTGTTGTTTGTAATGTAGAATATTTTAATGAAGAACTTAAAGGTTCATTACCGCTCAGACCGTTTCACTCCAGTTCACTGTCTATGTTGGTTCTTTGGTCTTATTTTGCTAGTACCACTATATATATGTGTGTGTGTCTTTGTGTATTTGTGTGTAGTGTTTTTAACCAGATGAACAGTTTAACCATTATTTTACGATCTCAGTATTTGTTTTCCAATATCGGGGAAGGAAAGAAGAAACGCTGTAGGCGTGGTCACTGCGTACCCTTGACACTGCCTACGTAACACGGGTGTACTCCCACAAGGACGAGACCGCGAATTTCACTCAGAATTATCTCCCAACAATAATCCGGGTCCGTAAATTTGATAGAGATAATAGCTCATATCTAATTCGTTTCCAATTTAATGTAACACTCTACTACTACTTATCTTTTTCTAATGGTAAAAATTATTTTATTGTAAAATTTTACTTTGTTTTTCAATTAGATAAAATAGGAAATAGTGATATTTCTAATATATAATACAGAATCTATGTTGATTTCGAAATAGACGAAAAAACCTAAATCGCTGTTATAACAGGTTTCATAAAAAAAATATATAACTTTTTTTCTGTTATTGTATATAGAACATTCCATCACAATATGAAGAAAAAATATATTCGCACAATATTTACAGAAAATATAAATAAATAAAAGAAAACAGGCTAAATAATAATCAATGTTGTTATATAAATAATGTGGAAATAGGATTGCGATCAATTGATATACACTTTTGTAATAAATATATTTATATATTAATAAACAGAAATAGTTCATAATAATGAACATAGTTTTATTTATTTTTTTTGAGGGGGGTCCTCCTCTTCCTCGCCTTTAAGGCGATACGGGGTTTTCCCGGGCCAGGGGGTGTGGACGAGGATCTAAAAGACTCCCCCGGCACCGAGACGCAAACTCGTGACTAATTTAAATCCATCGTCTTATAGATGAGGTAGCCGGGCGAAGGCGGTGCTGTTCACACACATCTGCCCGTTTGGTCACCCTGCCCACAGGAAGAACTAAATACCTATATTATAAGGCACATATATATATATTTTTTTTAAATAGTAAATAATTTGTAGTTATATGCAGAAGTACCCATTCCCTCCCCCTCCCTTCCAAGGTCAATGGCGCAAGAACATACCCCTTCCCCTCCTCCACAAATATTTTTTAGCTCATTTTTCTTAATAACAGAGCAAGCTAAGATATAATTAGAAATAACCGTAGATCATATCCTATTACCTTTGCTGCGTATGTTCCATGTTTTTTCCTTGTCCGTCGAAATTTGCCCAGCTCAAAAATTAAAAAACCTGTCAAAACATGCCTTCTTTTAAAAAAAAACCATGAAACCCCCTTTTGGGTACCCCTGGTAATATGTATTTTCCATCTAATATATTAATACTTTACAATATATGTTTTTAATGTTATTACAGCAACAATATATTAATAACTTTTTACATAGTATTACTTTTTATATACAGTAATTAATGCATAAAATATTTAAAATATTATTTTTGAAGGGAGTCCTAAGAATATAACTTGAAGATGGATATTCATCTTACCCGTCTCAGGTAACCAATTAACCTAACGAATCCAACGTTATTAATCCAGATTGTGGAACAAAAAAGAACTGGCATTTTTTAGTCTCAAGTTATTTCTCTTTTTTTTCATCCCTGGATCTCACTCATAATTTATTATGTTCGAGAGAACCAACAATATTTTTTATAGTATAAAAAATTGGGATAATAATGGATTAGTATGCTGCAGTCTTCCTGTTGTGCTATTTTGGTCATGAATTTCACATTATAAAAATAACATGTAATTCAATTATAACATATCAAAATTATTTTTCTGTATTGTGATATCGTATATATGAATGGTGTAGCGCATAGTGTAAATTAAGTTTACGAATAAAATAAGTAAAACTTTCACGAAGGTTAAGAAACTGGATAGCAATGACAAAAATATATTTGGAAGTTCCAGAGAAATTTAAAATCCATTAAACAGTTCATAAAATCATCAATAAAAACTATCGATGGAATTCAGCGCATTCCTTTATTCCGCAATTTAATCATCAATTTCTCAACGGTTACAAAGTCTATGGATATAGCATTTACTTCAGAATTTTCTGCATTCTAAACATGGTTTATTGTAATTAAATGCAATCATGATTTTATTTAACAATTTAATTTTTTCATACATTTATATCGCTTTCTCGTGGTTTATTTTCTATAAACATTTTTCCACATTTAATAATATCTTCATTTAAAAAGATATTATTAGATGAGAATTTTTCCCTTATTGGGATCACCCTAATATATAACTTGATAACTGCCAATTTTAACTTGTTGTCTTATCATTTCTAGAAGTAACACATTGATTACTAAAAGCTCATGGGCACAGAAGTGACCTATCATGGCTAACAGCGATCTGCTAGTAAGTCTTGCTGCGATATACCGCGTTCTCAATGACTGTGATAATGTAATACTGTGTAATGACTGTGATAACAAGATGAAAATTTAGCAGCGTGGAGAACTCGCAGGTCTTCGAAACAGATAGCTTTCTATATGAATTGCATTTTCATATTTTTTTTACTACAACTCTCGATACAGTCATTATCAAATTGACAATACAACATTATCAAATTGGACAATATAATATTATCAAATTGAACAATATAATATTATCAAATTGTACAATATAATATTATCAAATTGACAATATGATATTTTCAAATCGGACAGTATAATATTATCAAATCGGAAAGTATATTCTCAAATCGGAAAGTATAACATCAAATCGGACAATATAATATTATCAAATCGGACAATACAATATTATAAAATTGGACAATATAATATTATCAAATTGTACAATATAATATTATCAAATCGGAAAGTATATTATCAAATCGGAAAGTGTAACATCAAATCGGACAATATAATATTATCAAGTCGGACAATATAATATTATCAAATTGGACAATATAATATTATCAAATTGTACAATATAATATTATAAAATTGGACAATATAATATTATCAAATTGTACAATATAATATTATCAAATTGGACAATATAATATTACTACATTGCACAATATAATATTATCAAATTGGACAGTATAATATTATCACATTGACAATATGGTATTTTCAAATTTGACAGTATAATATTATCAAATAGGACAGTATAACATTATCAAATCAGAAAGTATAATATCAAATCGGACAATATAATATTATCAAATTGGATAATATAATATTATCAAATTGGAAAATATAATATTACCAAATTGCACAATATAATATTATCAAATTGTACAATATAATATTATCAAATTGCACAATATAATATTATTAAATACGACAGTATAATATTATCAAATTGGACAATATAATATTACTAAATTGCACAATATAATATTCTCAAATTGGACAGTATAATATTATCAAATTGGACAATATAATATTACCAAATTGGACAATTTAATATTATCGACTTTGACAGTATAATATTATCAAATTGTACAATATAATATTATCAAAATGGACAATTCAATAAACACGATTGATGAAGCATCGTACCAACCAAGAAAAGCCTTGGTTTTTATTTTTTCTCATTTACAAAGAGAAGAGAAGCCTATTACTAACATTTTAGAAACCATAACCTAGA